AGAGCAGTCTGGAGTTCGGGTTCGATAGTGAGCTTGGACTTGCTTCCGATGTTCGCTTCGGGCGCTCTACTGTCCCGAGTTGCTTGCCTTTGCCACGTGTCGGGCGATTGCGAGGTCGGGCCAAATTTCCCTTCATCAGTACAATACCACACTTAATACCCGAAACAATTTGGTAGTAGTAGAATTGAATTCCCATCTCTACTGGAACGAACCAACTAACATACAAATTGAATCACCCCTCTTGTTAAATGTTGGGCATACTCCACCAATCATGGTGTTAGAATTCAACTTTTGAGAGTACAACCAAGTAAAGGGTGTTCAGTTTGTGCTTGTGTTTGTATTGCTTTTGGTTTACGAACACAACCAACATCAACCTTATTTTTGTATGCTGTTGGAATATGTCGAAACATGTAGATTGGCCTTTCTTTATCAATATACAAGTTCTTATCGCTTTCTTAGCGAAGAAACATGGTTGTTGATGTAAGCATAACATAAGTAGTTATATGGTGTATGACAGAGACAAATATTGCTCTAATCATAATATTTTCATTTGACAATGACCATTGGTTCTTTTGGATAATCGGATTTCTGATAAACCCCTCCTAGCAATTACCCCCTAAACTTTTATTTCTGATAAACCCCTAAATTTTCAGATTCTAAAAAAAAAATCCCTTTTTCGTTAAATCGGACAAAAGAAGTTAATTTACCAAAATATCCATTCAAAAAATTTCTATAAAATGAAAATTGCAAAAAAGAAAAAAAAAAACTAAGGGCTTGTTTAGTTCGTGGTAATAGGGTCTAGATTCAGAATTTAAATGGCCCATTTTGATTCTAAGTTTCCGACCTAGTGAAATGACATTTTCTCAAATTCACTCCCCTCCTAGGAGAACTCATTCCAACTGATTCTAAGTTGGATTCTGATTTCCGTTTAAACCAAACAAGTTATAATTTTGATTTGGATTGTAATTTTGATTTTAAATGAAAATCAAACGGACTCTAAAAAATTTCTATAAAAACTTAATTGGTGTTTGGGATCGATGCTGGGAATATTGTATCATTTTCTCATAAAAACGGTGCTGGGCATGTAGAGTTGTAAGCACCATTTTCTTATGGTGCTTATTTTTTGTTTGTAATTGGTGCTGCCACATAGGCGTTTTATGAGAAAACATCACTGGTTTTGTTTGTTACTAGTGCTGACACCTACGTTTTCAATATTGATTTATATTTAACCAATTCTCAAGATGATGTCACATCATTATATTTCTGGCAGCAATGCATCGTTTTCTCATAAAACATTGAATTTGGTGTTGTTCCATACTATATTTTCCCGATTTATAAGACATGGTCTGGAATAATAATTTTTTTTTCTAAAAAAACTGTACCAGATAAAAAGGCATTGTTTGAAGCACTGGTTTATATGTAGTGCCCACGTGGCACTATTTTCTCAGAAAGCGACATTGATGCCCAACATCACAATAAGTAATAAATTGAAACTAAAAAGATGATAAAATGAAAGGAGAATGACTGTTCAATCCATCTTAAAATTCTTAACCTTATTGGACAGGTGGGATGAATTTTGACCATGAATTGATACCAAATCGATGGATAGGATGCAGTGTATAGCAGGGCTGTAATTTTAAAATTGGTCTGCAGTGTAAAGTAAAATGAATTTAGATGAATTTAAACAGTCACATCATAATCTCAGGTTATGTTTGATTTGAAGGAAAATATAGGGAAAGGTAAAAAAATCTATATAATATTTGTAAAGGTTTCCCTATCTTTCCTTTCCTTTTCTACCTTTTCCTTCAAACCAAACATACCATCAATGAAATTTCGGGAGAGTGATGGAATTAGAATGATTCTAGAACCATGGTACCCCATTTTTAAATAACCATGAACCGAATACCACCTTAATTGACTAATTGTTCTAGATGTTTCTATTATGGTGCACCAATTGATTGTGATACTCAAGCCTCCAATTACGTCCATCCGATTAGTATTTATCAGAGGGATCAATCACTGATCCGATTCCATGTCAAGTGTCAGCAAACTTCATCAGCTGTCACGTGTCATATAATGGGTTCTCATGAGAATATCCAGTTCGGATCTACTTCTCACAGAGTACGCCACACACTGATTTCATTGAACGTTTCAGTCGTACATCTTGAACATCTTTATAATTTAAAATTAGAGATATTCTTAATGTATGGATGAAACATGTTATGAGACGCAATGCGAGAATTAGGAATTCACATATGCACCCCAAACCACATCTCTCAATGATAATATCAGACCCGATATGCACTGTGAAACGTTGTGGGGCGCAAATCTAAACTCGAGAAATAGATTTCGAATTCGAGAATATTTTTCTTCTTATATTCACACAGCATTCTTTACACCGACCTCACAAACCATATCCGACCGTGTGTTGGGAAGATCTCCTTTGTATATTAGCTCTTTTAAAAAATATTAGATCTGCCCGTACTTCTCCGAAATATGGGAGATATTTCCGCTGATATATGCTTTAGATTGGTCAGAGGAGCGCTACGTGAGAGCAGATCCGGGCTCCTCATCTCTTCATTCATGGGGAGATATTCTCGATGTGCTATTGTAATGATATGTTGGGAGCGTTTGTTGGAAGCAGATCTGAAGTGCTCCCAGATTCATTGCTCGTCGTCCCGTCGAAGCGTTTTCGTTGAGGTATGTAATTCCTTAACCTCGAAGTTGTCAACGCCTCAACGCCAACGTACATGACTCATGACTCATTGAGTTGAACCAGAACCAGACCGGCAATTCACTCGGGCCCCGCGTGGGAAGCCGGCTTAATTCAATTCAGTTAACACACTAGAGCCGTCTGATTTCCTGGAGATTGCGTCTCTTGATTCCCCTCGCTATATATTAGAGTTGTTGCAACTGATTCTTCCGCAAAACTTCGTTAGCTTCTGTGTTCTAGACTCTCCCAAATTCTCCTCTCCAAAACAGAAAACAAAAACTCTTCCATCTCTGATCCTCTCTGAATAGTTGTGTTTCTGTTTCACCTAGGGTTTTTATAACGATTTCTTGTGCTTGTTAAAACAGTGGGAAAAATGGCGGAAGGAGATGGCAGGCAGCAAGAAATGGTAAGTGAAATCTCTTTTGAGTTTTGATTCATAGGTAAATAATCCATGAGTTTTGGCGATAGTGGAGGAATTAGGGTTTCGTTTCTTCCATTTTAGACCGTCTGTTTCTCTGGAGTTTGATGATGAGGAACGTAAGATGTATACTATTGAATTTCTCTTGTTTTACTTTCCTCCGCGCAATCTATTCTCCACTCCCGTTGAAATCTTTCCAAAAGTGGTGAACGATTTTAAGTCTACTTTGTGATGATCAAAATAAATTCGTTTTGATGTCTAATAATTATCTTGCTGTTCTTTTTTCCGACCGTATTGAGCAAATTTTAGCATATTTACTCTTTAGTTGAGATCCACCGGGAGATCGTTATTTTATCGATGGATATGTTTCGATTTCCCTTGGGTTTTTGAAAATTTTTGAGGTTATTGTTGATGAAAGATGCTTCGTCTTCCTGTTTGAAGGCCAAAGATAAGGAACATAGACTCAGGTATCTGGATTTCGTCCAAGCCGCGGCCCTGCAAGCGGTCATCTGTTTCTCGAGCCTCTACAACTACGCGAAGGAGAACTCCGGCCCCCTGAGGCCAGGCGTGCAGAGCGTCGAGAACACCGTTAAGACCGTGATAGGACCTGTGTACGAGAAATTTCATGACATCCCGTTTGAACTTCTCAAGTTCGTCGACCGCAAGGTGAGACTCTCAGTTTCTTCCTTCAGTTAATTAATCAATTTAATTCCAATCCAACCCTCGTCGGAAAACGGAAAACGAATCTCCGCTTCGAGATTGGAACTGTGGTTGGAATCTCCTTTTACATCGTCCGGTTGCACGAACCTGGTGCTAGAAATGATCAAAATGCCCTTTGGCAATTAGGAGTATCTTTGGTTTCATCTTTTGCGGGCAGACTGACAGAAGATTCATTTCGCTTTCGCATTCACGTGGTTGCAGGTGTACGATTCTGTCAGCGAGCTCGAACGCCACTTGCCATCGGTGGTGAAGCAGGCATCGTGCCATGCCTTCTCGGCGGCTCAGAAGGCTCCCGACGTGGCTCGTGCCGTGGCTTCCGAAGTCCAGCGCGCCGGCGTGGTGGAGACCGCCACCGGAATAGCGAAATCCGTGTACACCAAGTGCGAGCCCGTCGCTAAGGATCTATACGCGAAATACGAGCCAGTGGCCGAGTGGTACGCCGTATCGGCATGGCGGTCGCTCAACCGGCTTCCGCTCTTCCCCCAGGTGGCTCAGATTATGGTCCCTACGGCAGGTTACTGGTCAGAGAAGTACAATCAGGTCGTATGTTATACTGCGGACAGAGGGTGCACCGTGTTCTCTTATCTGCCGTTGGTTCCTGTCGAGAGAATCGCGAAAGTCTTCAGCGAAGATGCGAATCAGCCTGGCCCCACTTGCTCTGTCGATGCACAGTGATGGATGGCCCTTTGATTTGTGAGTGCATATGTGACGTTTGTGTAAAAGGAAAAAAAAGGTTAGAAAAATAACTGATGTAGGGTTTGGTTAATTGGTTGTGGTTTGGACTTTGGTGTAACGCCGAGTAACGTCTGTGTACCCTTTTTCAGTGCTAGTAGCCATCTCTTTTGTTTCGTGTAGTTAGAGGTCTAGAACCTTTGTGGTTCATGTAGTTACTCATCCAATAAGATTAAAAAAAAATGTCTTTCTCGGTCTTCAATCAGAGACAATGGATGGAAAGCCCTGAGCCCCGACAGACAATATTACAGCGCACTTAATATAAATTCATATAAATTGATATGTACGCATTCCTACGGTTCAGTTTGGAAAGAGTACATGTACGGCGCAAATATATTCAAATACAAAATACAAGGTTTTACACTATACGATGGCACACCCAGATACCACAATGGTATCTATTAAGATGCCCTTATAAGAATTATATGGGCGTAAGGATGTTATTTCAACATCACAAAAATGGGTTGATCTTTCCTTCATTGACAAATGTTGATGACTAAACTCATCTATGTTTTGCTGAACTGATGGTCGGACGGTTTGCATAATAGGACAAATATTTTATATGAGTAATGAGATTTGAGAAAGGAATGAAGAGATGTTATTGGTTGAGAAAGAAAAAAAAAAGAAAGAAGAAAAGAAAGAAAGAAAGGAGAAAGAAAAAAAAGAAAAGAGAAAGGAAAGGAAGGAGGGAAGGAGGGAAGGATGGAAGAAGAAGGAAGAAGATGGTGGTTCGACGCTCATCGGCGACAATAATGGTGACGGCGAGACGACGGCAATAGACAGATCTAAGTTCTCAGATCTTCTTCTTCTTCTTCTTCTTTAGATCTGAGACACGAACTCAGATTTGAATTCGTGTGTTTCTCTCTTGCAACTTTGTACTGTGAACCGTTGTTCGGGTTAAATGAGTCGGCAGTTCGACCGTCTTGGTCAGCGGTTTTTTGACAAAGTCAACGTTTTTTGACCCAGGAGCAAGTTAGGGATGAAACAGAACTGATTGTTTAGACGGTTTTCAGGGCCAAACGGCCCAACTGTCCGGTTCAACGACGGTTCAAAAACATTGCAAAGAACAAAGAAACTTATGTAGAATTTATACGAACATGTAAAAGAAAGGGCAAAATAGTCTAACAAATTGATGAAAAAAAATATCCTAGGGATTTATAAATGTTTAACAACAACATAATAGTCTTTTTGAAGTTAAATGACAAAAAGCTAATAAAGCGCGTAGAGTGTTGGAATCTAAAAGTTTAAAGGATTAAGTGTCACTACCCCAAAATATAGGGTGGTAATTTATAATTTACCTTAAAAAATTATCACCTATGGATTTAGGAGTCGTGAAACCTAAAGAGGATGTTTTCTATTCTTTTCTGTATTTTGATGTCTTGATGTAAGTGTGGCTTCGTCTCTTTGGCTAAGCAATAAATATGTCAAAGGAGAAGCATATGGAGGTGTTCTACCATGTAAATTGTTTTCTATTTATCTTGTTTGCATTGTTTTAAAAGGTAAGCCTCAAGCCTCAAGCCTCAGAAATGGGATTCAGTCAGTGTAAAGTCCATTCAAACAACCATCATACTCTTGCATTGGGAATATCTCCCAATGAAATAAAACATAGAATTACGGAGATGTTCTCGATGCAAGGCTGTAAAGACTGTTCGAACGGGCCTTACACTGACTAAAGCCGATCCCCAAGCCTCAAGGCGTGAGGCATAGCCTAAGGGGTTAAAAAGGCATAAGCTACAAGTATTAATGATTAATTTGTGACTTAATGCAAAAAAAAAACATGTGTTTTTATAATTTAAAAATATAAAAAATACACTTCAATAATTATGGGCCAAATAAAAAAAAGTATAAATGAAAAACCAATAAGGCAAATCAAATTCTATTAGTTTTTCTTAGTGTTTTAAGAAAGTTCAATGCAAAACGGACTAATCAATTTCATAGTTTCTTTTGAATAAATCAAGTAAGATTTTTCTTATTATTCTAAATATAATATCCAAGTTTATTAATTTTCTCACTTCTTCTCCTAATGGATCTTTTCTCTTTTTAATAATAATAACTAGCGAGGGGCCCCTGCTATGGGGCAAACCATGATGATAAATTTGAAAGAAAAAATTGGAAATAAAAAAACTAATAGAGAAATTGCAAGTCTGTAAATGTATTGGATCATTGAGCAAGCACCACTTTCGAGAAAACAGATGATACCATGTGATGTAACCGTTTTTGGTCACGTACCATTTTTTGTGATGTAAAAATTTTTTTGGCTAAGTACCTCGTGTTTGACCTGGTGGTGACGTGCCTTGGTGATGAGCTACTTGGTGGCGAACTCCCTAGGGGAGAACTACTTGGT